CCCCATCTCTCTGATCTGCTACAACCGTATGTCCCACCACGTTCCCTGAGGTCAGTGGACCAGTTGCTCCTCGCAGTTCCAGGAACTCGTCTTAAGTGCAGAGGTGACAGGGCCTTCTCTGTAGCAGGACCAAGACTTTGGAACGAGTTACCTTTGTTTGTCTGACAGGCCCCCTCCCTCTCCGTTTTCAAGTCCCGTTTAAAAACTCACTACTATTCAACAGCTTTCAACACAAGATGATCTGTGTTTTGATCCTGTATGCTCCCCACTGGTTTGTTGTCATTATCTGCATCGTATTTATGTCTATATTCTGATTTTCCTCATTTTGTATTTTGCTTGGTGTGTTACCTGTTGTTTGTCTGTACAGCACTTTGGTTGGCCTTGTCGCTGTTTTAAGTGCTTTATAAATAAAGTGGTATGGTAGGAAACTGAGAAAAGCTAGGAACAGTTCTGTTGTGCTGGGAGTTCTGATGCCTGGATCTAAATGGGAGGGGTGAATGGTGGGGGAGACTGGTAAGGGGGGGGGGGGGGGGGGGAGAACTTCAGCATGTTTGGGTTGTCTGCAGCTAAAAACAAAACTGGACCTGACGGATGATGAGCACAGGGAGCACCGATGATGTAAGCAGACAGGTCGGTGGCAGGAGGAGGATCGAGCCCCTGAGGTCTGAGGTGAATGTGACCTGATAGACTCAACACGTGTGTATGTGTGTGTGTGTGTGTGTGTGTGTGTGTGTGTGTTTGTGTGTGCATACGTGTGTGCGTGCTGATACCAGCTGTTGCTGTGTTGCTAGTTGATGGATGGTGTCTTGGACCACTTTGAACCAGTCGGTGATGATGCTCTCAGTGTCGTACTGCATCAGATACTCGCAGCCCTGTCGAGTCTTCAACTGAACACAAATGCATCAAATCACCACAGTTACACATTGCTGAAACAACTGTCGACAACACCAAACAACAACAACATGGCAATGCACAACTCCAAACAACAACAAGACAGGCGCGATACAACCCCGATAAGCATTCAGTCAGAAGGGGGAGGATTCAACAGAGAACATCCAACCACTGCAACACTAAAACATATGGTAACCATGGTAACAGAGAAGTGGGGCTTCCAAAGCCTACTGTAAACTTGATAACAGAGAAGTGGGGCTTCCACAGCCAACTGTAACCATGGTAACAGAGAAGTGGGGCTTCCAAAGCCAACTGTAACCATGGTAACAGAGAAGTGGGGTTTCCAC